ATAGTTCCAAGTCAAGTGAAGTTTCAAGTCGAGTAAGAGTCTTAGTTTCAAGCTAAGTCATGAGTTCAAAGTTGAGTTCTCTTTTAAAATAAAAAAAAATAAAAAAGAGAAAGCTATTAGGGAACTAAGTAATCCCAAAGGAGGTTGTAAATGATATTATATTTGAATAAGAAGGGAATCATGTTTTCTTTCCCCAAAGGAGCCTTTGGGCTAAAGTTTTGAGTAATTATCTCAATCAAAGAAAGGAGTTATTTTAAAAGCATGAGCCAAAGTATTTTTGGGAGTAGTATTGAGCACCGAATTGGGGACACGAGTTCATATTAACTCAACTCCCCATAAGAACCATGCACCAACATGGGACTTGTCGTATCATCCTTTTTAGATGATCACGTAAGATTAGGCTAGTGGATCCACTAAGCAAAAGTAAGGTCCTATATCGATGGCAAGGTATAGGATGGTCCTTTGGCAACGTGAGGTAAAACGTTGTATCATCACTAAGGCTCGTAGTGGTGGTTGTCGGTTAAAGAACCTCCCACAAAAGCTGTATTATATTTATAAAACCAAAGTGGAGTTTGTTGTCATTTTATCCTTAACGATCTAAGTCGTTTACATTCTTTTACAAGTTTTATATGTGTGGCTCGTGTCTTATTGCTTTACTTTGAGTCCAGTTATGTATATGAGTCGTTCAGAGTCAAGGTAAGTGATCTCTTGTCCTCCTTTCAAGCTTAAGTTGTGGTTCCGCTTTTCCAGCTCACATATTCGTACATTCCATGTACTGATGCCAGTTGGCCTGCATCGTCTTATGATGCAGATACAGGTACCCCGGATCAGCATCCTGCACGTCGTTGATCCAGCTGAGCACTCCAGAGTCTGTGGTGAGCCTCCTTGCGTTCCGGAGGACTCAATTATTTTGTGTACTTAGTTTTGTTCTAGAAGGATGTTGCGGGGTCTGTCCCCACATCCATCTCAGTATATTAGAGGCTTCAATAGACAGTCAGTCAGTTATTTTTGAGTCTCTCATCCATGTATATGTATATATATATATATATATATATGTAAATATTCTATTTTGAGGCTCGAGTTGCCCTTTGGGCCATATTTTATTAGTTAAGTTGTTCATGTCTTTGTATGACGTTGAGTTATTCTGTTGAGTTAGGTTTCCGCTGAGTTAAGAAAGCCAGGCCAAGGGTTCGCCTGGGGCCAGCAATGGTCTCCAGGTGCCGGTCCCGCCCAGGGTGTAGGCTCGGGGCGTGACATACGTACGGGACTAATTTCACATCATCTTGTGTAACACACACTGCAGAAATAGTTAATGACCTCGAAATGAACAACAACATCTAGAGAAAATGTGGACATAGGGGGTACTATTTTGTTAAGTCTTCTTCTCCGTCCTCCAAAAAGTCTTGTGGAACACTACAAAATATGAAGTAACAAGTCGTTAGAAGTAACTAGTACTCATCCATGGAGCACAAAGTTGTGTAGTTAGTGATGCCAAGGTTGTATTAGTTTCTGTCCATTTATGCCAAATTTGGACAAAATGAATATTGTATAATTGGTACTATCAAACAAGATTTGAAGACTTTACTCTTTCTGGAAAATGACTTAACACTTTGGACAACTTTTTTGCAATCACAAATTAGTTAGTGGTAGATGTGGGGGCAAATACCCCATTTTATTTGTCTGGATATGTTTCTTCTCTTTTTCTATTCACACTTTTTACAGTAAAGATGAAAAAGAGAAAATAATTTATGTGTGAAAAAATTAAATATACCACAACATGATTTTCTTTAAAATAAAAAAAGTAACTTTTGTAAAAGTAGGGATATATGTGAAGCCACTTTTGTAACAACGGGTATATTAACTCTAAAATGACAAAGTTGAGGGATATATCATGCTATTTTCCTTAATGTGCCTTGCAATGATAACAATATCGGTTGAATAGGCTACAGTTCACTACAATTCTACAACAAAAACAGCTTTTTTTTTATGTAGTGTCGATCACTACACCTTTATCTTGAGTCGAGGGTCTACGAAAACAGCCTCTCTACTACTTTGGTTATTCTCCATCTCTTTATGTTTGAACTGTATCATATAGATGGAGTTTCCCTCATTAACTAAATGTGAAAAGTCTTGGAAAACATCACAAGAGACAACTAATCAGAAATTTCTCATAAAATTATTCAAAACATGCTAATTATGCAGGAAATTAAGACACATCAAACAAAAATTTGAATAAAAAGCAAATAAAAGAATAACAATAAAATTCCACACTGTAGTATTGTTCATTTTTTCCTCACTTGACTTGGTCAAGAAATAGTGTCTGTCATTGGAAATTTCTTAGAAGTTCTGCAGAATTTTTTTCCACATAATGGGACCAATTTCACATCATCTTTGCCTAACACACTGCAGCGATACTTAATGACCTCAAAATGAACACAACATCTAGAGAAAATTAGGATATAGAGAGTATTATTTTGTTAAGTCTTCTCCGTCCTCTAATAAGTCTTGTGGAACACTACAAAATATGAGTAACAAGTTTTTAGAAGTGACTAGTACTCATTCATGGACCACAAGTTTTGTAGTTAGAAACTAGTGTATATATGTGTGGATAATGCTAGTTGATTTGTAAGAAGAGAACAAACATACTGTTATTTGCTGAAAACAAACAAACAAAAAATGGTCATGAGTCTGTTTTTCTTTTATTCATTTCTCTATTTTGTGTTGCTAATAAGTCTATGTTTTTCTTCATCCTTTGAGCATCATCTTTGCTTCAGTTTAAGCAACACTTTGAGATTATATCCTATGCTAGTTACAACTGTGATAGAGCGTCTTTCCCCAAAACAAAGTCTTGGAATGAGAGTAGAGATTGCTGCACTTGGGACGGGGTCACTTGTGACATGTTAACCGGTCATGTTATCTCCTTGGACCTTAGTTGTAGTCAGCTTTTTGGCAATTTTCATCCCAACAGCAGCCTCTTCCAACTTCATCATCTCCACACACTAAACCTTGATAACAATTACTTCACTTATTCTTCAATCCCACATAACATTGGCCGATTGACGAATTTGAGGCATCTCAATCTTTCTGATGCTTCTTTCTAGGGAAAATCCCAACGGAAATCTCATACCTTTCCAATTTGGTTTCACTTGATCTTTCTGTGTATGGATTACAACTTGATGAGAGAACATTTGAAACAATGCTTCACAACTTCACAAATCTGGAGCTACTTTCTCTCTTTAATGTCAACATCTCATCTCCGATACCTGTGAATATTTCTTCCTCCCTAAGGTACCTGGATCTTGGTTATACTAATCTGTGAGGTGTTCTCACAGAGAGCTTTTTCCTTCCGCCAAACAGCTTGGAAACGCTCAAATTGAGTGGTAATCATCTTCTCAAAGGAGTTTTTCCAAAGATCCCTGTTAATGGAGTTGGATATTTCATCCACAGGCATCTCTGGTGAGCTGCCTCATTCAATTGGAACCTTCAGTTCCTTGAATCACTTGAACCTCTATGGATGTCAATTCTCTGGTTCCATTCCTGATTCCATAGGCAACCTAACACAAATTACGGAGTTGGATTTATCTCTTAATCATTTCACTGGCCATATTCCTTCCACAATCTCTAAATTGAAGCATCTCACAATTTTGGTCTTACGTCCAATTCCTTTTCAGGTGAAATATCCTGATGTTTTCTCTAACCTCCAAAAGCTACGTTATATAGATTTTTTTAATAACAGGTTCAACGGTCCATTTCCCGCTTCAATTTTAAGTTTGACACATCTTGAATACTTAGGATTGTCGAGTAATTCCCTATCTGGCCCACTGCCTAGCAAAGCAAGCATGCTTCAAAAGCTATCCGAACTGGATTTGTCTGACAACTTGCTGAATGGTACCATACCATCTTGGGTGTTTAACATCCCTTTGGTAGATTCATTGTGGCTCCATAATAATCAATTTAGCGGACTAGCTGATGAGATCAAAACAAACCCAACATTACAACTCCTGTATTTAAATAATAATCAACTCAGCGGTTCTTTTACTCAATCATTTGTGAATCTCACAAACCTTTCTACCCTTGACCTTTCATCAAATAACATCACCATTGATGAGGGAATAAATATCACCTTTCCTATCCTAGAAGTTTTGCTCTTATCATCTTGTGAACTGAAGGATTTTCCACACTTCTTGAGAAATGTAAAGACAATTCAGTACTTGGATATTTCTAACAATAAGATTTGTGGTCAAATCCCTAACTGGTTTAGCGGTATGAGGTGGGACTCGTTGCAGTTCCTAAACCTTTCTCATAATTCATTAACAGGCCACCTACCACAATTTCGTTACGATAACCTACAGTATCTTTATCTGAAATTTAACTCCCTTCAGGGTCCACTAGCTTTATCCATTTGTAACATGAGTTCGCTTATCTTATTAGATTTATCACACAACTACCTCAGTGACTCAGTTCCACATTGCTTGGGAAGCATGGCTAGTCTAACGGTGCTAGACTTAAGAAGGAGCAATTTCACAGGGAGTCTTCCACCATTTTGTGCACAGAGCACTTCATTGAGTACCATTGTCGTAAATGGTAATCGATTTGAAGGACCTGTTCCTGTGTCGTTGCTCAATTGTAATGGTCTAGAAGTCCTTGATGTGGGGAACAATGCTATAAATGACACGTATCCAGCTTGGCTCGGAATTCTTCAAGAGCTGCAGGTCCTTATATTAAAGTCAAACAAGTTCCATGGACCTATAAGTACGTGTCAGACTAAGTTTTGCTTTCCCAAGTTGCGAATTTTTGATCTTTCTCGTAATGATTTCAGTGGCTCACTTCCTGCAAAAGTTTTTGGAAACTTCAAGGCAATGATCAAATTAGATGACGAAGACACAAAAGAGATCAAGTACATGAAACCATCTGAGAAGTCAATATACATATCGTATGAGGATTCAGTGAGCTTGGTAATCAAAGGGCAGGATATTGAGCTACAAAGAATCAGCACAATTATGACAACCATAGATCTCTCAAGCAACCATTTTGAAGGTGCCATTCCGAAAACACCAAAGGATCTCCGCTCACTTTGGCTACTCAATTTATCCCATAACAATCTCAAAGGAGATATTCCAAGGGAACTTGGAAAATTGAATATGCTTGAAGCTTTAGATCTCTCTTGGAATCAACTCACTGGAAAGATTCCACAGGAATTGACAAGAATTAACTTTCTGGAGTTCTTAAACCTCTCTCAAAATCATCTCGTCGGACCAATTCCTCAAGATTCACAATTCAACACATTTGAAAATGACTCGTATGGCGGCAACCTTGATTTATGCGGTCTTCCTTTATCAAAGCAATGTAGAATGAGTGATTCATCACATGTTCCTCAACCATTGGAGTCTAAAGAAGATGAAGGCGAGTCATATTTTTTTAGTGGATTTACGTGGGAATCAGTAGTCATAGGCTACAGTTTTGGACTAGTTGTTGGAACTGTCATGTGGAGCCTCATGTTTAAATATCGTAAGCCAAAATGGTTTGTGGAATTTTTCGAAGGCATTTTTCCCAAGAAAATGAGAAGGCCAAAGAAGAGAGCTTAGAGACGACAGACTTAATGGAAGATTGCAATAGTGAACTTTTCTGTTTTTTATCTTTTTAATTTTCTGTTTGTTGTTTGTAGCAATATAATTGTACGTGTTATTTTAGCAGAATGATAAAATTACTTGTTAACCTGTTACTTAAGACATTGAAAACAATGATCCAAATAATCTTAAATGTTTTGAATTCGAAAATGCCACTAACCTGCAGATTGTGTCATCATTGCCTTAGGAACACTGTATAATCCGATGTTTTTTCTTTAAATGGCCGAACTCATACACACACAGGATAGCAACTATTGAGCTGTTGACTGAAGTGAACCACTTATTAGTACAATAAAACAGGAAAAGGCTACATCCACCTCTGGGGCTCATGTTGTTCTGTTTCTTCAAATGCAAAACACTCTCTATCAGGATTTTCTTTATTTTCAAGGTTCGAATCCGAAACCCAAGCTTGGTTCAATTTTACGTGGAACCATGCATTTAGCATAACTATATGTCCTATTGCATTATAGTTATTATACAAAGTGGAAAAGTTCAAGGGATAATAACACCATCTCAAAAGTCGGGTGTGTAACTGAAAATCTTACTCGACTTTAGGGGTATACTTGGGGAGGTTCAAAACCGAACCATAACCGATAAGCCAATCGCAAAATTGGCTTATTGGTATTGGATTATTGAATTAATGGTTGGTCAAGGGATTAAAATTTATAGGTTTTTGCATGACATCTTGTTTCAAGCTTTAGACTTGAAAGTGCTGGATGACTAAGCTCCTTATTGAAAACAACAAGTAGGTCACAAGTTTGACATGTATTTAGTCTCGGAGACAATTCTCTTTCGTTTTAAAATTGAATACAAAATTTAGAGTCTAGTTATGTATTTGCTTATTTAGAATCCAGTTATGTTGCTCATCTTACCCACTCACATCTATAAGTTAAAATGTGCTTCTTCCATGTTGAATATATGGTCCTATGTTTGTAGTTAATAAATTGTGAATCTGCTAGTTTCCAATAACTATCACAACAATGTATAAGAAAACTCATTTAAAAAGTTTAACCTTATAAGTGATTGTTTTTATATGTTGTCACTACTGATGCTAAATATGTTATGAGGCATTCTATTCCTTGCGTTTTAATTTTGAAATATTAAAATGGATCATGTTTCCCTGCAATATAGTATTGCTTGTTGTTTTCTCACCTATATGAAAGAAAAGGAAGCTATTTTGACAAAAATACCTCTCTTTATTCATCCCCTTGGTAGGATCTACAACATGCAGTAAGCCTAAATAGATTTTCTGATATGGTAAAGTACGCAGTAAGCATAGAAAGTTGATAGTTTTGTGCAAGTAAAATCATCAACGTATATCTGAATGTATTGAACTATAAGACAAAGTTTGAGAGCTGAAGCACTACAAACTACAGTTCATTGGGTCTGTTGAAAAGTTTGCTTAATATTTATAGGGAGAGGATTTAAATATTTGAGGCAAAATAACGTTAGGTGATTTCTTCTTGCCTATTTAATATGACGTCTTAACCTTTTAAATCTTCCGTCCTGTTGAGATCACCATTTTGCAATATGATCATTTTATCTTAAGCATTGGTGCTCTACAATATGGTTAACTATGGATACATCAAGCAGTACCATTTTAATGAAATTGCAAAATGATGATCTCAGTAGGAGATAAGAAATCAGTTTGGTGACAACTCTTCTGACTTTGTAACTGCTTGGTATTTCTTACTTTTGTTTTATGATATCACTTGTTGTGTTTAGGTAGTTTGTCAAAGCCTTTTCTGTATGTTTAGGTGGTTCATGGATAGACAGGGTACATCGGGAAGCCTCTTAGTGCTTATTCTTTTAACAAGCATGCATTCTAATGAAGCTCAGCCTTCCTTCACTTTTGTCAATTCAGCTAATAAATATTGACTCGATCGATAGTAGTGATATAATAATTAAGAAAGTTGACAGTAAAGGTGCAGGAGGATCCACAGCTTCTCGATCAGAACTTTGGTAGAAGGACATGTATGTGTTGGTCCCACAAGAGATCATATGGGAGAAGCTCACGAGTGGTAAGTGCTTTCATATTTGTTGTTCAACCTTCTATTATCGGATAGTGTAATGGAACTTATGTAGGCAACACAACTTATGGTGTTCTAGATACAGTTTTTTTATGATAGAAGATACTACATGCATTCTTTTGAAGGCATTTTCTGTCAAACAACAGTTAGGCAAAATTTCTTTCACTAATTCTCTGTGGATGGTTATGGTCGACCTCAACAGTTTAATTTCATTTTATGTTTTTTACTTTCTAAAAGAATACCTCTTTCTATATATATTTGGTAATTCAAAATTTTCTTTGTGACTTGTTTTTACCATAAGATCTAAAGAGAATTTGATTGGTACTTTACACTCATCTTTAATTTAAAATCACAAAATTGAAAATTCTCCCTTATTTTCTTAAGATTCGTACCTACAAACTTAAATTTAAATGGAAGGAGTATTTTTTTTCATTTTCATTGGAGGAGCAGTATCTCTCCTTCTCACAAATAAATGTGTCTATGCTAGTTGCAGTCCCAATAAACCCTTTTTGAGCCAGAAGAGGAGATGAATTGGAGCAGTAGCTCTCCTTCTCACAAAATAAATGTATATGATATGGGCTCAAACACACTTTTAGGCTAATTGTGCAAAAAAAAATTGACATTTTCCTAGAATTCACATGCTTTTCATTTTTCAGGTTGTGGATACATGCTAATAGTGTGAGTGATGTATCATGGTGTTTACTTGCTATCCTTTACCTCGATTTTGGTTTTTTTTGTGGGAAATGCCAAGAATAGTGTGGAGGTGTTCCCGTTATGTCTCAACTTGTTTGCTACCAGAGATAAAAGCGACAAGGTTACAAGGATAAGTAAAAGGTACATTATGGCTTCCCTCTCTCTTTGATACAAAGTAATTTATGGCTGTATCGATGCAACAAATAGTTAGTTAAAAAGGAAACTCTATGCTTTCTTACCATAGAATTCGAACATAGGGTATATTCTCCATCTCCCTCTCTGGTGCCACCTTCTCAGTTGCATACTTTCTCAGTTGTCTTTGAAGCATATTTTTTTCATCTAATTTTCGCACAGTTGAATGAGTACCCAAGGAAGCTAATACCACACGTTGTACAATTACCAAAGGAAGAGATATGTAACAGAGAGCAAATTTAATTTTCTGTGATTGTGATATTTGTTTTCTTGTTTGATTGAGTCATTTGATATGTTAGTTGTTGTGCATGTTAGCTGCTTTCATTTCGTGTCACTGTTTGGCCTTCAACTTGTGTTAAGATTATAGAGCCTGCAAAATACAACCAACAGTTAGTTAAAAAGGAAAATCTATGCTGTCTTACCATAGGAAATTAAACATAGGGAATTCAGTATATTCTAATTTTTCCACGTATATAGTAGAATGAAGACCCAAGGGCACTAACACCACACACTATAGCATTACCAAAGGATCGGAAGAGATATGTAACATAGAGCAAATTAAATTTCTGAGATTGTGATCTTTATTTTCTTGTTTGTTTGAGTGATTTGATATCTCCGTTGTTGTGTAGGATGCTTTCATGTCACTGTTGGGCCTTCAACCTATGTTAAGATATGGAGCCTGTAAAATTTAACAAACAGTTAGGGTGTGTTTGGTATGAAGGAAAATGTTTTCCATGGAAAATGTTTTCCATGAAAAACAAGTTGATTTTTAGGGTGTGTTTGGTATGAAGGAAAATGTTTTCCTGGAAAACAAGTTGATTTTTGACTTATTTTCTCATGTTTGGTTGGTGAGTAGAAAATATTTTCCGAAAAAGAATTTTAGTGTTTGATTTATGAATGAAAAATATTTTTGAGAAATATCTTTTATTTTTACTAAAGTAGAAAATAATTTTTGAAATTGAAAATAGTTTTTAAAAACAAACTTGATTTTTTTTTTTTGGGGGGGGGGGGGGGGGGGGGGGGGGTCGAGGGTAGGGGTGAAAAATTGAATTTTTGAAGTTGAAATTATTTTTTAAAAACAAACTTAAATTATTATTTTGGGGTTGGGGGCTGGTAGGGGGTGTGGGGGGCTGGTAGGGGTGGGTGGGGGGTCGAGGGTTGGGGTGAAAAAATAAAATTTTGAAGTTGAAAATATTATTTTTTTTTAAATTAAAAAAAAAATTGGGCGTGGGGGGGGGGGGGGGGGGGGTGCTGGTAGGGGTTGGGTGGGGTGGGGGGGCTGGGTAGGAGTAAAAAATGAAATTTTGAAATTGAAAATATTTTTGAAAAACAAACTTAAAATTATTTTTTGGGGGTGGGGGGAGGGGCTGGTAGGGGGGTGGGGTGGGTGGGAGTCGAGGGTAGGGGTGAAAAAATGAAATTTTGAAATTGAAATTATTTTTAAAAACAAACTTGAATTTTTTTATTTTTTTTTGCGAGGTGGGGTGAGGGGCTGGTAGGGGGTGGGTGGGTGGGGGTTCTAGGGGCGAAAAAATGAAATTTTGAAATCGAAATTTTTTTTAAAAAAACAAACTTAAATTTTTTGTAGGGGGGGCTGGTGGGGGTGGGTGGGTGGGGGGGTCAAGGGTAGGATGAAAAAAATGAAATTTTGAAGTTGAGAATATTTTTTAAAAACAAACTTAAATTTATTTATTTTTGGAGGGGGGGGGGGGGGGGGGGGGGGGGGGGGGGGGTAGGGGTGAGTGGGGGGCTGGGTAGGAGGTGGGTGGGGGGTCGAGGGTAGGGTGAAAAAATGAAATTTTGAATTTGTAAATATATTTTAAAAACAAACTCAATTTTTTTTTTGGGGGGGGAGGGGAGGTGTGACCGGAGAGGGGGATGGGTGATCGAGGATCGGAATGAAAAAATAAAAATTTGAAATTGAAAATATTTTTTAAAAACAAATTTAATTTTTTTTCTTTTTGAAGGGGGTTGGGGGCTGATAGGGGGGTTGATTGGGGGGGGGAGGGGGGCGAGGGTAATGGGTGGGGGATAAAAAAATAA